GGGGGGGGGGGGGGGGCGCGCGGGTCACACAGGTACACAGGTGAATAAAAACCAGGCCCAGGTGTGAGGGGTTAGTTCACAGTCTAATGTTAGGAAAGTGGGCATCAGCCCTCCCTCCACCCATCCTGGGGGTATTTGTAATATGTGGGCTGTTAGGGGTTGTTGCCACGACTACTAGAGTATTAAAGAACTCTCTTGTCCCCAGATGTTAAATCTCCGACCCTCCCTAAACCAACAGCCAGAGCCCATGCCTTCCGGAACCTGGTATGAGGAGAGACTCAAGTCCTGCCCCTGTGGAGAGACAGTGAGGGGTGAAGGGCCCAGTGGTGCAGACTGCAGAGGGCCTGCATGTTATAGACGGCGGCGGCCCCACACCGGGAAGGGCCCTCCGTGTTAATAGCGATGGTAGTAACCACAGTGTCAGGACCAACAGCCACCACAAGCAGGACCACAGGACACAACACTCAGCTTGCGTCCACACCACCACAGTAAGCCACACCAGTCGACCCAACTCAGGCAACCCGGGCAGCCTCAGAGGGGCCCTGCCAGGCCAGACCAGCCCCCGCCACCCACCACAGGGGCCTCGCGAGCCAAGAAGGTAGTAGTCGCCAGGCAGGCAGCGAGAAGCCAAGCAAGCAGCTGGCCCCTCTCAGGTACCGCTCGCTCTCTCGCACTTTCTCTCTCTCTCTTCCTCTCTCTCTCTCTCTCCAACTCTGTGTCAAGCCCCTCTCTGACTCGCTCGCCCTCTGGGAACCAACCTGCAAGTACGTTCGTTTAACTCAAGCTGCCTCGCCTTGCAACGTGAGTCTGTGTTTTTGCAGGAACATTTACACGTCTGCGGATCTTGTACAAACAAATGCTTTCTCCGCTCTGAGCAAGGCCCACAGGGACTGCAAAAAGGCAAAAGGAAAGACATCTAAGCTAGAGCGTCAGCAGAGAGAGAGAAAAAAAAACCATGCAACACCCCCTAATGTGTGCAGCAGGGCCCCCACCCAGCTCGTGGGCCCCCACACCCTTCCACGCCCTGGAAGGATCCAAGTGCCACAGTGGAAGACAGAGAGCACGCGGAAAGAGGCAGCGCTGGTAGGAAGCCTGCCCACAGAGAGAGGCAAACACAGACGGGCAGAGAGTGCAAGGAGAGGGCAATGCTGTCCACGGGACAAGTGCAAGCCTTAGGCCACAGGGTCCCCACTGCTGCTGCCCCCAAAAGAGCCCCTGGCTCTCCACCTGCTGGGGCGGCCATCGGGAGCCACCTTCTCCCTGTGCGAGGGCACGTGCCCAGGTCCCTCCACCAGAAGTGGGCTGAAAGGGGGTGTGACACCCGGCTGAGCCCAGAGGCAGTGTCCGCAGAGGGGGACACTGGCAGCTGCCCCAGAGCATGGCCCACCACAGCCTCCAACACAGAGCAAGCAGCCGCCCTACTGAGAGGCCTCTGTGGGTGCCGTGGTCAGGCTGGAATCGAGGGACCTCCTCGAGGGGCTCCAAGTCCATGGGGGGGGGGGGGCAGATGGTGCCTGACCTCACCCCACCTCCTTCTTCAGCCAACAACCAGCTGCTTCAGGTCATTCAAACCCATTCTTCACACCACCCTCCTCACCACCCTCAGCTTCCAGACAAGCACAGAAGCCCAGAGCAGTGGAAACCAGTTGGGTGAGCAGGCACCAGTGCCCGGCACCCATGCCAACATGGGCCGGCCACCAGTGCCCAGTGGGTGAGAGAAAGGCAGTGCCCAGCCAAGCACAGGCCAGAGCCCCCTCCCTGATTCCTCCAAGCCCACTCTGCCCACCCACCCCCAACCTTGGACCAGCAACAACACCACGAAATCTACCCATTGGTGCCAATTAGTGGAGTGAGAATGAGAGAGTGAGACACTGGGACAGAGGGGAGGATAGGAGGCAGAAGGGAGGGACAGAGGGACAAGGGAAGGGTTAAGGGGTCCTGCAAGCGGGAGTTAGATTGGGGGCCCTGGGGAGGCTCCAGGGAATGAGACAGTAGCGGCACCACGTACAAGTTCCAGGATTTATACCGGGATTTCTTGCGCTTTCTTTTTTGCCCCTTTCCCTTTCCTCGAACTGATTTTCTGGAAAATAAAAAAACAGAGCCAGAGAGGAGGGGGGGAAGGGAGAGGAAGAGAAGCCGTGAGGAGGGCAGGGGACAGGACATGCTCAGGGGAGGGGGCAGGCAGCCTCCAAGGAAGAGCTTGCACGCATGTGCAGGTTGGTGCAGCAGCCTGGATGGCTCCTTTGCCCCGGACACGGCCTTGGGTGGAGGGCATAAGCCCCAAAGGCCGCCATGCTCATGGGGGCTCCTGGCCCCCGAGAGGGGCAAAGCACCCCAAGCAGGCCCCTGACCCTGTGTAAGTCTGGCCCTGGTGGGCAGGGGGCTATAAAAGGTAGGCCAGGCTTTGGGGAGAAAGGTCAGAAACCTGATTTAATTGGGGGGGCAGGGGGGCGCTGTGCTTCAGGCACCTTCTATCTTCATTCCAAGTGCAATAGCAAAAGGATCCCTCCAGAGGCCTTGCCTCTGAGAATGTGGGGGAGCAGCTCCACCGGGGGCTGGCACGAAACCAAGGACGGCACACACAAGGCATCTGCCGGTCCGAGTCATAACCTGGGCTGCTGAGAGGTGGGGCTGGGTGTCCTCAGAGCCCCAGGCAGGCTGGCAGGAGGATGGGGTGGGAGTTAGGGAGGCGTGGGGAGGAGGGGCCTGGGCGCACTTGGCAGGGTGCATCTCCCCAGCCTGTCAAAGCCTGCTGCACCATCTCACCAGACTCCCTGCCGAGCCCAGGCGAGCCCCCCCCCCTCCCCCCCACTCATCCTGTGGGCAAAGCAGGCCTTTGGGGAAAGGGCAAGGGAGGCAGGCTGAAGCCTGTCCAGTCGAGGGAAACAGCACTCTTCTCACATGCCAGACCCAAGAGAATGCCCCTCAGAATGTCCGCCACAGGGGAAGCAAGAGGGAGGAAGGCACTGAGGAAGGGGGCAGGTCTGTTTCCTCTGGTTGGGAGAAATGCTAGGAGGAGGAAGGTCTTCGAGTGTGTGCACATGCATTCTCCCTCTTCCTCCTTCTCTCTCAGTCTCTTCTCTCTCTCTCTCTCTCTCTCTCTCTCTCTCTCTCTCTCTCTCTCTCTCGTCCACAGCAATTCTGGAAGTTGGGGACTTCAGAAAGAGACAAAGGGTTGAGGCCTAAGGGCCTTCAATGTCCTCAGAAAATGAGCAGATAGGGTGGTGAGGGAGGGGAGGGAAGGGCATAAGTGATCTCTCTCAGTCTCTTTTCCTGCAGACTCGTCCCCCAGGTCAGCTGTTCACCGAGTCCTGAGGGCTCACTGCCCCCAGACCTTGCCCTGCTCCATCCTGACTTGACCCTCCACACTGAGCAATTGGAAGCCTCAGGAAATGACGGACATTCAATCAATTCTTTCTCCCTGACCAAGAGGGCTGGGTGTCTCTGGCCCGCTTCACTCCTGCAGGAGGGCATACGCCCCAAAACACGCCAGCTGGCCCCAAAGCCAACTGCACCACCATCGCAGCCGCCGCACAGAAGCTGGCCTCTCTGTCACCGGCTCCCTCTCCCTGCGATGGGTGCTGGGAAGCCACAGCATGCCAGGAGCCAGTGTCCACACTCCGCCTCGACACACCACGACCACCAGTCCCAGCCTGGGATGACCTAGAGACCTGGGACTCATCGGTTCTCCCAAAGGAAGCTCCAGGCTCCAGGCTGGATTTCGTCCCTGCGTCTACAGCCATAATCCTGGAGTTTGCTCTACCCCATTGCGGCCACCACATGTCCTCATGAGACCAAGTCTTGACCCAGGGAAGTCATCAGGCCCCTGACAGAGGAAGCCAAGAGCCCCAAACCGAGAAAACAGGCAAGGAGAAGGAGAACTGAAGTCATGGCCACTTACTTTTCTTGCCTTGCTCTCTCTTTCTTTGGTCTGCAGCGGTAGAGAAAGAGAAAAGAACAAAACAGAGAGGGGTTCAGATGGTGATGACAGTGATGATATAATAACAATACTACTACTAATGAAAACTTAACATAGTGTTTACAATATAGCAATACAGTTTTCATCTCTTTAGATGTGACTCACTTAATCCTTATAACAATGGTATGAGGTACATACTATTATTGTACCCACTTTATAGATGTGGAAACTGAGGCACTGAAGTAAAGTTGAAATGCCCAAGGTTACACAGCTGGGAGGTGGAAACGGGCCAACAAGCGGAACGGGCTCAACCCTGGCACAGAGCAGGCGGCCGTTTGCTGACTGCGCCCTCACCTGCATTCACATTTGCTGTGCTGTAGGAAGCTCATCTCTCCTATGTGCTGGACTTTGTGAATTCTGATCCGCATAATCTAGAGGAGAAGGAAGCACATCACAGAGGTTAGTGACCCAGCCAGCCATACCCAGATGGGACACCCCTGTGGCTCCTGCCACTCAGCACCCAGGGGTTCTACAGAGCAGTGGTGGGTGGTGGAGTTAGGGGGACCGGGGGCTCTATCAGAAAGAGCCTCAGGCCCACCCCAACTCCCCCAACCCCGCTGACCTCAAGGAGCCCCTGCTCCTCTTGAGGCAGACACAGCTGCACGGGTTGGCCAGGCTGGGAATTCAGATCCTAAGTTCTCACCACTCCCCATCCCTCCCCTCCTTTCCTCCCTTTAGGCCTCACCCTGAGAGCCCCCACCTTGGGGTCTCAGAGCTCCCTCCCTCCCACCCTGTCCAGGCTGAAATGGACCCCATCACCAGACAGCATCAAACCTCTGGCTTAGAAACGCTCCACAAACCACACTCATCCAGCTTCCCACACAGAGCCCCCGAGAGGGAGGGAGGGCGAGACAGGCTCCTGTCACAGGTATCACCCTCCTCCTGAACCCAGGGGCAAAGGTCAGGGAGAAGGAGGAGGCGGTGGGGGCTTGCTGGGAACCTGGACTGGGAAGGACAGGCTTCTTTTTCCCCAAAGAGGCGAGACCTGCCACACCTCCCCGCCTGACTCAGGGGCAGGCGCTGGACAAGGCAGGTCTGGCTCCTCCTTTCAAGTGCCCCCCCGCCCCTCCTCCTCACAGGGACGCACCTGCATGGTGACGTTGTACTCCTCGGTGGGCACGCACTCCAGGCCCTCGTCGTTGCAGCAGCCCCCGCACCGCATCAGGGGCACACAGGACGGCTTGAAGATGTACTCGATCTCATCAGGGTACTCCTGGAAGATGTCCACCAGGGTCTCGATTGGACGGCAGTAGCTGCGCTGGTAGACATCCATGAACTTCACCACTGCACGGGAGGGGGTGACACATGAGCCCAGCAGGTCACACAAAAGACGGCCAACCCCTATCTCCACCCCGCTCCACAAGGCCACCCCTCCTGGTTTCTGTGAGAGGTGCCCACTATCGGGCACGTCCTCTCATACATCTAACTTAAGTCCCTCCGGCTGTGGTTGAAGTCCTTCCCTAAGCTTTCTATCAACACTGCTGAAGACCTGCTTTTATGCCAAAGATCGCAGGATGCTGTCGGGTTCTGCGGGAGACGGCCCGCCACTTCTCACCCCCCTGCCTCAGCATGACAGCCAAGCCAATTCCTGGATCAACCCTGATGCCAGAGGACAGTCTGAGTAGGAGTATACCTGTTGGGGGTGCTCTAAGCATCCCCTAGAAAAAGGAACAGCCAGCTTGGCCATCCTACTCCCCATTGACGTACAACCTCTCCAGAGCCACTGCCATACCCTACCAACCTACCAATACCATTTAATGAGCATTTACTTATGCCGGGCCCTGTGTACAGTACTCTACAGTTGACATCTCAAACAATTCTCTACTATGAGGTTCTAGGACCTCCATTTTACAAATGTGGAACCAGAGGCTCGGAGGCTGAGTAACTTGCCCCAAGGCCACACTGCTCGTAAGTGGTAGAGTTAAAATCAGCCTGGGCATCAGAGCCTTCAGCCTTCCTCTGCCATGAGAAAACAGAGGGGAAGCTTCAGGGGGCACCTTGCCACCTGCCATATCCCCCACCTCCCCAGAGGTAGGCTGAGGAGGCAGTGGGCATAGCACAGGACTGGGGCTGCCTGGAATCAGCAGGTGGCAGTGGGCGGGCACACTGGGCAGGCCCTGCCAGCCACCGATAACCCCACCCAAGAGGGCAAACTGCTTGCATCATGGAAAAAACGGTGTTGCCACTGCAGCCACAGAGCACTTCTAGAAGTTGATCCGGAGGGAGAGCATGGCAAAGACGGCGTCCCAGGCTGGAGGTGGGGCCTGAGGTGCATCGGTGCATGAAGGGGTAATTCTGGGCCACAGGGGCGGGCCTTGAGAATAAATAAACTCAGGACTCTGGAATGACTACTCCAAATTGTGGCCCAGCCTGCCACTCCCTATCACACACCCCCACCTCCACACAGCAATTCTGTCCCTGGAATGAGCTTCCCCTGCACAAGAAGGAAGAGCAGCACCCAGCCAGCAAGGAGGCAGGGCTCCGGCCGTGACTTGGTGTGACCGCGGGCCAGTCCCTCGCTCTGCACATCTGTGCAAGCGGCTCGGGCTGATCGCTAAAGACATGGAAACAAAGGCTGAAAACGTGGAGTTTTTGTCTACCCTTTCCAGCCCCAAAACAAGCTCCCTTTTCCCAGCCCAGGTAACACAAGGTCTGGAACCTCAGCGAGCCCTCCTCCCCCTCCTCTCTCCAGGGGAACGAAGGCAGAGGAGCCAGAGGGGCTGTGCACGTCCTAAGTGGGTTGAGGAGAATTTGGAGAGTTGAGGGAAAGTCAGTAGGGGCGGAAGCCACCGATGTGAAAACAGAAAGAACAGTGGGGACCCCCAAGCCCGTCCCAGGCCTTGCCGACCACCTCTACTTTCTCTATCCAGGCAACGGCCACAAAATTCTTCTCGACCCCCAAAAAGGGTTAAGGTAAAGTGTCTTCAAAAAGAGTATAAAAACATGACTAGGGATCTGAAGAAGTCCTTTTCTAAGCAGAGTCTATACTGAAGTAGATGACTAATCAAGACCTGACACTTTGTCATGGTTGGGGACAGAGGTGGCCCAGGCCTCAGGGCCACAGGTCCCACCCAGGACAGGAGAGTAGAAAAGTCTGGCCGGGGCCATGGTGGCTGAGAGCTGAGGGTAAAAAGACTCTGGGTGAGAATTCCTTGGAAAAGCTCCCCGGATTCGCCAGGGTGGCAGGTAGAAGGGGAACACTTCACCAGCACGCTAGCCACTGCCTCCAAAGAAAGCTGTCCTGCTTTGGCACAGGGCGTGGACACACAGACACTCCGACATCGGGCTTCCGTTGTTTTCCTTATTTCTCGAAGACAACCTGTTCCCCAACAAAGACCACTTGTCTTGCCTCTCCCCGGCCACTGAGACCACTGGGAGGCTGAGGGGGTAGGGACACAGGGAGCGGGTGGCCTGTCAGTGGTAGAGGCTTGGAGTGGCCAGGAAGCCAGGCCCTGGGCCAAGGGAAGGGTTCCCAGGCCAGGAAGGAGGCAGAACCGGCTGGGCATCACCACCAGCAGGGAGTGCAAACATCGCCCTTGGCCACTACCCTGGGCCTACTTGATTAAGGTCAGGTAAAAGCGCCTAGAGGAAGACCGCCTCAGAGATGGGGAGCTGGGGGAAGTAGCACTGGGCACTGGGCCCCCAGGCTTGCGCAGAGGCCACATGCAGGGGTGGGGAGAGCCTGGACATCCCTAGAGACAAGGGAGGCTCCCTATACCAAACCTCAGCGAACAAAAGGCAGGCCAGGCCAACTGGGCTTGGGCAGGGGGTGGGGCGGGCGCCTTGGAGTGACAGCCAGCCCCCTGCTGGCCCAGCGGGGAAGTTCACAGGACCCAAACCTCCTCCACCTGGAGGGCAGAGGGAGGCCTTCGGGCTTTCTCTCTCCACCCCCAAAGGAGTACAAACTGGGGGATGGGGTCCCCTGAGGCTGGGTCTCCGCACCCCTAGCTCATGCACAGCCAGCTCTCTGGATGGCAACAGCCACAGCCCCTGCACACAGGCCCCACAGGTGAGACATGCTGGGTTGAAGTGACATGGCGTATCCATCCTCCCTTGGAGAAGGGCGGGGGGACCCCCAGCCCTGACCTCAGACCTACTCATTAAACAGACTTCTGGGATCCTTGAACATTGTTTGTCCTCCTGGTCCAGGCTCATAGCTCCCTCTCCAAAGAAAACTTTACTGGAAAGAGCTGACGAAAAAGGCCACAAGTCCTATCCCTAGTAGAGGCTTGCATAGGGAAGAGCCAGTCCTCCAAAAGGAAGGGTTAATCTTACCCTTTCCTGATCTTCGCTGCAGATCATAACAGAAGAAACAGGGCCTCCCTCCCCAACCCTTGGGGAGTTAAGGGGTCCCATCCGGGAGCCAGGAGGACTCACCTTGGGTTTTCTGCTCTCCTTCTGCCATAGGCGCAGCCTGGGACCACTGAGGACAAAACAAAAGAGTGAGACATGGGCATGGGCAGGGGGACCATCACTCTGCCCCTCCTTCCTCCTCCCTGCCCTCCCTGCCCATAGCCTCTGGCTTCTCCAAGGCTTCTGAGTAGAACTGGGCACCACCAGGGGCTCCCTACAGCCAGAGCCCACCCACCACCCCCAGACTGCTCCAATTTTGAAGCCAAAGAAGATCAAGACTGACCAGACACTGGAGGTGGGAAGCTCAAAATGCAGTAGGAAAATAGCAGAATATCCAGGTCCCTTCTCCACAGTTCTCTCTCCCCATTCTCACTGGCCCATTGCTGAGCTAAGGGAAGTGAATCTTCTCACCACCCCCCAAGCCCCCCCACTCCCTGGTCCAAAGCCACAGCTAAGTATTAAGGTCAAATAGGACAAATGTGGACTGGGGCAGGAAGGAAGGACTAGGGGCGAGGAAAACAACATGGTGACCTTCTCCTGCTGACATGACAAATACCAGGGTGAGCTGATGCTGGGAAGGGACGGGGTGCAGAGGCCTGAAGGGCACCAACCACACTCCCCCATTCCAGGCTCTTAAGTCTTTGGGAATAGTCAGCAAACCCACAGGTTGCCTGGAGGGTAAAACCTGGGAGGAAGGCCTGAGAGAGGGGAGAGCTCATTGCTCCCCATGCACAAGTCTCACCTGGGCCTGAATATATCTCCAACATCTTCAGCTTCACACTCCTAGCTTGTTCCCTGGTTTCTCCTCCCTCCCAGACTGAGGGGGTCCCCAAGTCCCTCTCACCTGGGCACCTTCCTCAAATGCAACCAGGGAAGTCTTTTATGCCTTAGCAATGCCCAGCCCCTAGGGGGCCCCCTGCACTACCTAGGCCTGAGGCCTCCCCCCATCCCTCCCCACCCTCACCAGATCATTCCTCCCCTCCCCAGAAGCTGTGAAGGTCAACAAGTTCAACCATGTGAACCTGACAGCACTGGGCAAAGGCTTCTCCCAGCCCTTCCAGAGGGTCTCGGGTTCTCACCAACTGCCCACCCCATCTGCCCCTCTTTCCCAACCAATCCTGAACAGCAGAGCCACCCCTAGCCCACAGAACTGCAGACCCACTGAGAGGAGAGTTTCAGCCTGTCTGCCTCTCTCTCCTTCCCACCCACCCCCAAGGCACCCCAGTTCCCCTAGCCTTGCCCCCAGGACCAAGGTCAGATAACAGTTTCCAGACTCCCAGCTGGATAGCCTCCAATTGCAGCTCCCTCAGGGGCTCCCCAGAGTCTCCACCTCAGCCCCTCACCCATCCCCAGGACACCCCCAGCCTTCTCTCTGCCAACATTCTCTCTGGCCTCCACTCCTCCTGGGCCCCAACTAGGAAGGGGACAGAAACTTCATACCCCCTGCAAGGCCTGGGGGCACAGGGAGGAGCAGCCCTGCGCGGGGAGGGGCCAGGTGCCCTTCTCTGGGGGCCTCTGAAGGTCACGCTATGGCCAGTCCGCCACTCCTCCCCTCCCCTCCCTACTTGGAGGCCTGGAGCCAAGGCCTTTGTGCCAGGGTCTGGGGAACTCTGGTGGCAGCAGGACCCCAGCCCGCTTCCTCCCTGCGGCCTCTCTGCAAGGGGGAGGTCTCCGGGAGGGGTGGGGAAATGGCCCCTTAGGTGGCCTGGAGAATCAAGTTGGGTGGGCAAGTTTGAAGTTCCAAAAAACCACCTGCTCCTGCTCCGATGGCTCATTTCACTGGGACAAAGTGTGTTTGCAAGGCTGGCAGGAGTTCTTCCCAAGGCAGCCTACATCACAGCGAATTTCAAACCCTTTTCCCAACAAAGTGTAAAGTGGGGGACTGGCACTCTTTAAACCCTCCCACGGCCCACCCCATAAGAGCTACAGCGCATCCCACTTGGAAGTGTGGGGGAAGGGAGGGCGGCTGCCTGTCACCGAGTGGTAGCCCTGGACAAAGCCCCCGGGGGGCCCTGGCACCCTGACCCCTGACAGAGACCCCCCTCTCCCCGGACTCGGGGGCTGAGAGAGGCTGGGTGGGTCTTCTCCGCAGAGGGGAGTGAAAACTAAAGGGACAGGCAGGGGTTCTCTCCACGCTGGGGAGGAAATGGGGAAGGGGCGTCAGGCAATCCCTCCCAGCACAGGAAGGGGTGAGGGGCCGGAGGCGGCCGGAAGGGACAGGGTGGTTCTCCGGGTGCTCCCGC